TTTATGAATTATGTATGAATTGATTCCATTTCAGAGGATTCCCCGATCCTGTCTGCTGGGTCTCAGGAAGCCACCATCCCGTTTCACAGCGCACATGACCCGGAAGCTTTTTATTTCCAGGATTCCACGATCTACCCTCGTTGGGAATCTCACTTCACCTTGCAGTGGATTCCTTCCCCGTCACGAAAGGTATGTGAAATATGGCAGACCAAAGAAATTTATTCATCTGGATGATTCCTTATTTCTTCGCTTCCCTCAATTTCTGAATTCCTACAATTATTACCATTCTTTAAGATGAACGCATTCAACTTGGAAAGGTTTCTCTCTCCTTGGACGCAGGATGTCAGCTAAGCCGAATAACTTTGCAAATCCTGAATTTCCCTTGCAAATCCGCTCGTATTTTCAAGTAGAAGGCCTCGAGAGCGATTCCCACCCCCGATCGAATATGGTCAAAACTCTATTCTCTGGAAATGCCTGTCAAGTATTTTATTTGTAAATATTTTTCATCAGTACATTAATAAAATACCGAATCGAATTGAAAGTGGCAAACTAGAGAGTACCAGCCCAGGTACAGATCTACCATTCCAATGGTTCCGATACCTTTGGAATTATCTTCTTCGCCGCATCCCAACCCTCCAACTTCGAAATAAATAATAATTGTCATTGCTACGGCATAGGCCTATATAAAAAGTCTCAGACAACTAGACGTGTTTTCGATGGTCCGCACGTCCGCGTCTCGTGGAGATTGGAGGAGTGTATGAAGTGTAGGATGCCAGATGCGGAATTTCACGCGTACGCCTAGCAACCCTGTCTACGCGGCCGCGAGCAGCCGTTCTCTCCCATTGTCTACTATGGATCCGTAAAGTAGAAAAAAGTTATAGTCTGACCGCAATATCTGGCATTTCCCCATAGTACCTATGGGAATGCCAGATAATAAAGACCTGACAGCTGAAGGGAAGGGAAACGGTGGCGGCAGGCCGGAGAAGCCTGGCCTTCTGCTGCTTTCGTAGAGGCTCATCGGATTCATCCTTGCCATGCCGTGCCGATTGGAACCTTCGGGGGATGCGGGGAAGCGTCGATGCAGGGAGCCCACGGTATCGCATTCAAAAGGGGTATTCCAGGAGAAAGGCGTAAAAATATCCAGCAATTAATATGAAGTTAACATCTCGGAGGAATTCTTTCAACGTTTTAGTACAAAAGTTGGTTTCCTTATCCCTAATCGGAAATTTTTACAATATACCAAAAAATTATCCCAAAAATGTTTAACGTGGGAAGGAATGTTGTTCTATCTAACGGTGGAAGAGCAATAGAAGATATTCAAGACAAGCTCTTCGGGTTTTCCCGAGGAAACTGTCTTGAAACACCGGAAAATTCTGTTGATGCCGAAGAGGATTAGTTTTGAAGGATATAATCATCAGTAGTAGGGAAGAATCACCACATTGTCATTTAAAAAAAACTCAGTCTCGGAACCTTTGGTCACACCTAGTATAGGCGTACGAGTAATCTAAAGGAGGAAGAGGAAATATTTGGTCACTACGGGGTCGTTGATGTGCATTTGACTTTCAAGCATTTTTATTCGGTAACAAATTCATGGTGAAGATTTCCCAAATCCTTTTCTATGCTCCCTTCGCTTCATCCTCCTTTATCCCCAATACTTCGCCTATACCATTTATGGCGTTAAACGGGAGTTAGGCTCGCTACTGCGCCGACTTTGTCCAGCTTACTTTCTTATTATGGTAAAACCCGAGCAGAAGGTGCTATAATTGCGATTCCTCAACCTCAGCATGCGAAGAACCGGGCGAAAAACGGCGGGCCAGGGTCTGACGAGAGAGCGAAAAGGGAAGCCGTGTTTGATTCCCGGATGTTCAATGGCAGACATTCGTCCAAGTGGATCTGCATAAGGGACAGAATAACGGAGAAGGAAGAAATGGGGGTTGATGAGTTGTAACACCCGATGAGAGGATCTGCCAACGCCCCCTTACGGATTCCCAGTTCACCGTAGACTCCACATTTTTCCTGAAGACGGCGAGCGGAACTTTCTTTCAATCCATTGTTACTGAGTCTCGCCAAAAAAAAAGTTTTGCTTCGATATCATTTATAGATGCGGTCCATTTCTCGTGTTCCTATGATCCACCCAACTTGTCCGTGATTCTTCCCGCGGAGAAGTTGCTTCCCATCGAGCAAGATCTCTCCATCTTCTTCCACTTCTAATTCTGCTCTTTTTTCGCCTGCTTTTTCTTTCGTCTCGTGCTTGTTTCTTTCTCCGGACTTCACCATCACCGAACGCATGATCTATATCGCCTACGCTTAGATACAGACCCACTGCCTTGTGGCGGTAGCCGAGTGGTGTTTTTGTTGTTGGGAGCCGAGTTGGGAGTCTTGCATTTTAATTCGAATGATTGGGACTCGGTGGGGAAGGGACAAAAATGAACAAAAATATAGGTATACTTACAAAAGGAGAAACATGGTCATGGCCATGGTGGAGGCTGGAGGTAGGTGGGCCATGTAAATCAGGGAAACTGCCCAGCACGGGGTTACAATCAAGACTGACTCTCTGCCTCTAGGGCATCCAGAAAACCTTACTACCTCTCCCCTTAGTCAGTGACCGGGACCTACTTCCCGAATAAGGACATCTCTTCCACCTCGTCACTGGCTAGGAGGAGGTCGCACGAAAATTTACTACTGCTCGCGAAGAAGCATGACCAATCCACCTCGCTGATAAGACATGGCATGGCAAGCAAGCCTACATACAATTTCTCCACAGCCTCGTACTCCTTTTACCACAAAAGCATTCGTTATTCTAGGGACATGACTGCTTGTTTTCTTCGGCTTCCACAAATCAATCTTCCTCTTAGTGGAGCGTGGCGATTCAGCTCTTTTATTAGGTATTGCTCAGATCCCAAGGAGGTTGGAAATCCCCATACCTAGTTTCTGATGCGTCCAGGATATTATTACCTTGTAGGCCTATTCATCTGGTGTTTGGGGGTTGAATTCTTGTGTTCCTTATGTCCAGACGGCACGTAACCTTTATCTGACCACTACGGAGTCCTCTACGGACGGGGTGTCGATCCAATACTAAAACCGAGCTACTTTGGCAATACATCGTCGTCATCTGACACCTTGAAGATCACCCCCCCCCCTCCCCCCACACCCCAACAATATAAGGTGGTTTATCTCCCCCCTTTTCAAGTTACAGTAATGTTTCTTCTGTTAAATACGGTCTCAGGAGTAGCTACAATAGATATTTGCGATAAATGTAGTGGTAGCGATCAGCCTTCCTCCATTCTTCATTCTACCATGAAAGTTCGCGGTGGCTCCACAGTAGAGTGTGCAGGTCTGCTTCCCCTACGGTATTGGATCCCTTCGATGAAGAGGAGGGCGCTCAAATAAATGAACAGCGGACGAACGATTCCATAGAAAGGCGGGTTCGAGACTGCTTATTGGCGAGGTGTTCGGAGCAGGCATCGCTCTCTAAAGTTTGCTGGTACTCGCCTTCCTCCGACCTCGTTGGAGTGAAAATACCTCTCAATGGTTTCTAGTTCGGGCTGAGTTTCTTGGCTGTTCCTTGTCACCATGGCGCTACGTGTCATGTGTCTCTGGGTCCCAAAGACGCTAGTGGCTCCATTCGCTGCTCGCATCCCGCTTCGCGAGCGTCATTCGCTTCTGTGATGCTGCGCTGCGATGCTGATGGAAGGGGGTTCCGGCGGAATTGCAGTCCTTGCCCCGAATGGACTGCTTCTAATGGATTCTTCCAGCTTATGCATTGGAGGGGGGATTGTGAATCCCTCGGGACTTTTCATGCCTCAGTGGGTTTTGTGACGTCTTCGATGTTGCATCCTGGTCGGTCTTTCAGGCTCCGAATGCACACAACGGAAGAGTCAATCTGCATTTGGCAGGTCATTTACCTCTTTTCAAGCATTTATGACAAATTCTTCAACTCAAGAAAGAAGTGACGCATCAGTGAAAATATTTTCCAGAAAGTCAACTGCAGCCAACTTCGATGCCAATCCAGAGAATTCGGCATTCTTCCTCCCCCAAAATCAGCTCTAACTATCCTGGAACGTGCATGAAACTCTTCAAAAATCACCTTACCTTTCGAATTTGATTCGGGAGTTCCAAACAAAATCCTGCCATTCTCGCTGATTTCTGGACTGCATGGACTGCAATCTGAAGTCTTATTAATCCCATTTTTATTCCATGAAAAGTCGCCAATGTCGCCATTGTGACAAAATCAGGAAAGTCCATTGTCGAGCCAGACTGACTAAAAAAAAACTGGGAATTAGGACTTCCACAATGGATTCTGCATTCGTCGAACTTAGTTCTGCCAGATCCAGAAAGATTCCAGGCCATCACCAGGCACTGACTTCACGAAAAAATTATTGAATTTTAGTTCACTTTTATGGATTTATCTTCCTCTAAATTCTTCCGATCTTGCCCTTTCTACTCGAGCAATAACTTCTGTCACTGGTGAGTTTTCTAATTCTTATGGTGTCTGGATTTTTCCGGAGGGCGTCCCGCCATTTTTCTCTGATACTGTCGTTTGGCTTAACAGAGGCAGCTGCTCATATCCGGGGAAAAGTCAAAGTCCTGCATCCCATGACACTTCGGTTTTGCACGTTGTGCGTCTCAGTTTTTCCCTTTTCAACGTAAAGTCATGGTTGAGGTACTACTCTCGTATGAAATTTCAGCCCGATACAGAGGCAAATGCAAGTTTCAGTGTCGTTTAGGCTCTATCTTTAGTGCTTTCACATTTCTGTACTGATTCCTCAATAGTCAGCAAGATGGAAATTATTAAATTGCTTTCAGGGTGCTGAAATTAAAGTGACAGGTGTCAATTATTTTACTACTTGTGCTTTTGAACTGAGGAAAAGACGCCTTTTTTCCCAGTCATTTCATGAAACAGTAGATTTCCTTCTTACTGGAATTAGCATTCGCTTTGTGATAATGGAAATGTGGCAGTGTCCCCTCCCCTTCCTTGAATGTAGAAAAACCAATCCACGGCAGAGAGGAATGGAAATGCTTCATTGAAGAAAGCATTGTTAGTAGTCACACAAAGACAGCAGAGTATTGCAGAACCGAGCGCATCGTGCGAACCAGGATCGTCACCCCAAAGGATCAACCAGAGCCCTTCACCAGTAGTATCCCCGGTAGCGAGGGTATCCGTAGCTACGACCGTATCTCCAGCCACCGTAGTAAGGTGCCCTGTAGTATCCTGGAAGGGGGTGAGAAGCCGGAATTCTGAATTCATCCAGTCATTAAAAAAAAAGAAATTAGGATCTTTTTTCTAAATCAATGAGGGATGATGACGAATCATTTGCAATAATAGTGTTCCTTTAGTGGGAGAGAAAGGAACAAAAGTTTCATGTGTTGGTTACTATTGAGTGAGTTAACTTTCATTGTTTTCGACAAAAATAATTTTTTATAGCGTGTCCTTGGGAAAGAATTTGAGTTCCTAGTGACTACTTTTTCACGTGATTTCTAACGAAAAGGCACATAAAGCATATTGCAAAGGGATGGAGAAGACTTTGATGCTGCTGGAATTTCTGCTGCCATTTCTCAGCATATGTGACTCCGAATACCATCCTCTCAAATTAGGTTCTGACTTCGATTCAGTTTAACCTCGACTCCCACAGAATGACTCAAGACATGGAATGAAGAGATTCACCTCCATAGCCGTATCGTCGGTAGCCGTACACTGACTCGGCGGGGGCGAGATCCGCTTCCACCGGATACCCATCGACCTCCTCCGGCCTTTCCTCCGCTCCCTGGGCCAGAGCCACCAGGCACACCAGCCCCAACAGTGCCAAAACCTATGCAATTGGCATAAACAAACTTGTATTGGTGAGGAACGCGTCGTCGGTCGTCGCCTCGTATGAGGAAATTAAACAGGGAAAGAATGCAAACATATCTTAAATGAATTAGAATACATAAAATGAAGCGCGCTCGACGTGATTCATTACAGTATATAGAAGGCACGGAAGAAGTAATTAAATTTTAAGTCAGGGAATGAGAGAATGACCCCGTGCAGTTGCCCTTCAAGGCACGATACCGGCAAACCTTGACCTTGACAAAGAACCATGGGGTTTGTTGATCCCGCCCGAAAGGTATCTTTCGACTGGCTTGCATGAAATGAATGTAGCTGTTGATTAATGAAAAACTTTAAATCAGATTAATAATCTGCTGCTCGATCGATTAGTCGGATTTTCAAATCCTGATTAATCTGGATTTGAAATAATCCCCGCTCCGAATTAGATGGACACAAAATTCTAGAGAAGGCTGGTGAGATCTGGTGGTACGGCCAGATAACAAAGCTGTCGTGTCGTTTTTAATGACATAATGACAGATTTGATAAAATACAATGATGACATAATTCATGAAATAAAACGAAAAGTAAAATATTGTAAGCAGTTTTCTGTCACCCGATCCCACCAAACTAGTCTGAGGTCTTTTCACCGAGAACGGGAATTGGCAGTCAATCAAAAATGCACAAAAATTGCACAGAAATTCACGAAGAGGTGTGCACACCTCTTTATTTTTATTATTATTCTGAATCATTATAGTTTAATCGCGACTAAAGCCTGAAACGATTAATCGGCAGATCACTCGAACGGAATCGGAAGACTCACGAATTTCATCGTGGACAAGAGTGCGGCGTCGAACTCAAACGGACGAACTTCGCAGTCACAGACGGAATGAAGCGGACCCAACCCGATGGGAGGTATTTATAGCCGGGATCGCGGAATGCCTCCCGTCCTCACCCTTTGGGCAATCGCTGAAGCCTTTTTTTGTTGTTACTCCGCCCTGCATCCATACAGGATCGGTAACCTTGGCCGAGACAGTTTAGATGAATTGGGATTTCTCTAGATAGATAAGGATGACCCCCTTGGGGTTTTCGTTTTTTTTTTAAATGACGATCCGGCCCCGGGCATTGCCTCATGCCCCTACGCATTTTTTCAGGGTCAATAGGGTTTCGGGACTGTGGATCCGGCAGAGGGGGCTGAAGTGCTCTCAAGGTTTCTTTGCCTCGTAGAAGTCAAAGGTCTCATTATGTTCGCCTAACCTAATTTGGGTAGTGCAACATATGGGTGAGACAATTTTTATTCTGATTAATTGGGAATGGAATATAATTAATTACCACAATGAAATATAATTGATACTTGGGTTGGGGGGCCCAGGGGCGGGGGGGGGGGTGAGTTATGTATTGTCCAGAAGGAAACAAAGGCGTCTTTGTTTCATGCATATCAGAAACGTTCGTTGCTTGTATGTTAACATGATCGCTTCTGAAGCCCTAACAAAAAGGTACAATTTTTGCTCTAGCTAAATTCACGCATGTCTCGGAATTAAATAAAACGCGCTTTGGGTTGGATTCTCGCTCAGAATAAAATAATGCCTCTCCGTGCAGGCATGGTGCAAGGGGGTTTCCTTCCCTCAGGGGTTCCTCGATGCAATTTGCTCTGGGACCTATTGGTCCTAGGTTCGGAGAAAAAAGGAACTTTCGCTTGGATGCTTTTGTAGCCGTAAGTACTTATGAAAGCCAAGAAATCCCAGTGTGATTCCTTCCATACTATCCTTTTAGGAAGGAATTCCATTTCCCAACGATTTCCTTCATCCACTGCACAGTTTCACGTGCGGACGATGAGGAGAGAAGGAAATAGGAATCTGGACTCTGTTGTAAATCTTTATTTCGATGCTGATTTCAAGGAGAAATTAAGTTAATCATTGGAGTTTTTTTCCTGTTTTGTCATCGGATTTCTGCTATAATTTATTTTGTCAATTTCCCTACTCGCAGAGATATTTTCATTTACAGGTTAGTATATAATTATGGCGATATTTGAATAGTCAAAATATTACGCCTTACTCCATGGCCTTGACCTCACGTCTAAAACGACGCATAAATCTGGAACGCTTTGGAACGTTGGAACGGCCAGAACTTCAAGGAACGTCTTCGCCTGATCTCCATGAAATTAGTTCATATTTCATCCTGTCAGATCTGTAAGATTCGTAGGATTCCTCGTAGGTGGCAAAGGCGTGGTCGAGCGCGAATAACTCCACGGTGCCTATACGCGAAACCTCACGATGGGAGTAGGCCCTTCCTCACATCCGGCTTCATTCCTATGGCCTAAATGCGAGGGATCCTGCAGGCATTTCGCCCATGAATGACAAGTGCATCCCATGCTCGGACGAGACCTTGAACCTCTTTCTCCCCCACCTTCGCCACGCCTTCGTTATTGGACCTGCGCCCGTAATCAGATTCGTCCCCTCCCCGGGTAGACAACAGCCCATCGCAGAAGAGAATTTGAGATCCGGTTCATCCAACCCAAGTGGAACTGCGTCGTTTAGTGCAGACCCAGCAGAGGGGGTGGGACCCTGGCCCACCTGGCTCCTCCAACCACCTTATTTTTTCATTTTTTAGGCATGAATATACTTATTTTTAATTCTTCCCAGAGTTATTTCCACGGATATCCAAGATCTGGGACATGGAATTATAGTAAATCCAAATAGAGAGATGGTGCTATTGTTAGCCTATATATGGCTAAGGATATGGCGTTGATGTATACCCACCAATGCCATTTCTCTGTTACATTTTCAGATTAACTTTATATTCATTGCCTTAACTTCTTTTCTCCATTCGCCATTCCGTGGCCTATGTGCATCCCGCCACTGAATGACAGCTGATGACAAGGAACCGAGGAGTTCGTCCTGTCCAAACGGTGGGACTCCACCCGATCCGGGTGGAGTCGATTGACAGAAAAATTCAGTTTTTCCATGAATCTAATGTCTTTCAGTGACGCTGATTCACCTGTCGCATAATTTTGTGAGATGTGGGCAGGCTTAGGCAACGTTGGAATGGTGGGCGCTGGAGTAGATTCTTGGCAGTGTTCAAGGACATCAACAGCGCAGAAACGACAAAACCAGCTTCATAAAAACGCTCCACTTCCTAAAACGCCCGTCAGAGACGCACGTGGTGCATATCCTGCACGTGCGTCACGTGGGACTTTGGCATCCTTCATACCAAAGCGACTGCCGGGGAAGGCATGAGTGATTCAGTTCACTTCAAAGCAAGAATGGCTGATGCCTCTGGGCTTCTGACAAGTGGACGACCCAAATGAAAGACAGAACTTGGGAACTCGCTCAAACTAAATCAGCTAAACCCTATTCGTAAAGGTTGAGAGAAATAATTGAAGCCTATTTAAAAAAATGGCTTCCATTATTTCCATTTTTTTTATAAACAATTTAAAAAAGTGCTTATATTTGGCATCTTCATTCATAGAGACCACCTAGGTATAAGACATTTACATGCATGGCATCACTCTAACTTCATGAAGAATCCTGGAAGGTTATACCACACACTACAGATTGAAAGGAAGAAACAGGAGTCGGGATGCAATGAAATTATGCAATGGTCCAAGTCTAATGCTCGCTTCAAATCGCTAAACTTCGATATTTCTTGTAAAAAGATATGACAGCGTGGAAGGACACCCCATCGTAAAAAGCATGAACGATTTTGGGAATCAGATAGACTAGAGGTAATTATCTAGAGGTATTTTATTGCTCTCTTTTGGCGCTATAAAACTTCCTTCACTCCCGACAGTTTGAACCATATATAAATTGTTATCTGAAGGGCAAAGACGGGAGTTCCTGGCAGGAGGAACTGGTACTGAATGAAAATTCGGGGAGCTGACATGAGGAAGGCGTTAACAAACATACGTACCTTTCTCATCTACCATATCCCCTTTCTAGGAGGATCGGTATCTCCCTCGTCCAGCTGTCACGTGGCATGTTCATCTGTTAATCTTCTACTCACGATTTGACAGGATACGTTTGTTAGTGTGAGATATACTTCCCTGAGATCGATTTCTATCAATTAGAACAGGCTGACGCCTCGGACAGGCTCTTTCTCGCCCTAGGCAAGCGCCCCTCCCTCCCACCACCTCCCCCATAACTCTTACTCTTTCCAAGTCCGTGTCCGCAGGCGGTAGGAAGTCAGTAGGCATTCACGGACGCTCCTTATTCTGTCGATCGACTTGGTTCGAGAAATGGATACCGCTGGTACGTCGTCGACCCTCATCTCGGGGAAATCGATAAGATTACCATCGGTCAAACAAACTGGGGCACAGCGGTCCACCATTCTTTTGACGGATCGCAACATCCAGAAAGAAAGCATGCACTTCTCTGAGAGTAAAAGTTGCGTAAGCAAAATTATATATTGGGTTCAGTGGTATAGTGGTAGCACGCCTCACTGAAAGCCGGCTAGGTCCGGGTTCGATTCCTAGCAGTCCCCTCATGTTCTTTCGATCTTTCTTGACCTGAAGCTCTTCCTTCTACAGCAGGGGTGGGCAAATGTTTTGGCTGGAGGGCGACTTCACGAGTTTTGGTGAGCTTAAAGGGTCGCACTCCAGTATCTGGGAGAATACCTCACTAGCACAATCATAGCTTGTCGGTCGTATTCCCTCCTTTGCAATAAAAACAGCTGCAATAAAAGCTGAACGACAGCTTCTACCGCATAACGTTTTTCGACCATCCAGATTCTTACAAAGAAGACTGCCTAGTATATCGATCTCAAAAGCATTTCATGTCTTTCATCTTCAATCGTGTTAAAGTGCACTGTGTAAAGTGCACAGTCAGTCCTATAGGACTGACTGTAACAAAATGCATCAACATGGCTCGAATCCTAGAAAATCTCACTCAGTCGGAACAGCTAGATTCCTGATCTCAGATTGCCACAAGTCCCAGAGTTGGCAGGTTTGACAGTTGGACCAGGTTCTCCTGGGAAGCATGACATCTTAATTATTAATAACATGAATCCCAAGAAAGCGCCATTCTAGAAAAGACTGTAGTCGAAACATGGCTCTTTGAGGAGAGTTGAGGAGAAAAAAGGAAGGGGAAGAGGATAAGAAAAGAGGCAAGTGAGGGAATATATATTTCCTAGAATAGGGAGGAATAGGGAATAGGATTAGGGAGGGGAGGATGGGCACGATAGGGGACGGCGAACGAAAAGGTAGTGAACTTTAGTACTGCAATAGCATATGATAGCCCCCAAAGCATTCAAGCTTCAAGATAATACAGAACTTAATTTTAGAAGGTAGTCATGAATAGATGACGCAGTTATTTAAATTATCGTTAACTCTTGATGAACTGTCATCAGACATTTTTACTGCAGGGACCATTTTGTCCTATTTCTCATTTGGGACCAAAATGTCCGGGGCCCTTTTGTCCGAATACCTTGAGATCATTCATCGGTAAAAGCAGGAGCAAGCTCGACTTTATTTGGGTAAAATATTGCCTTTTACGGCCTAACTTTTCCGGCTGCTGACTGACCAAGCAATAAGTAAGAATACCTAAATTTTCAGCCGTCCAGGACCAACTAGATGTCATCAGGACCCGAGGACGAATCTGCTAAAATTGTCTAAAGCCTGGGTGCAACTGGCCCCCCCCCCCCCCCCCCCCCCCCCCTTTCAAGTCTCATTCAGATCAATGACATGGGAAGCTACAGCAAAATCACGTTCCTTATGAGATCGAGTGAAATGAAATTCCAGAATAAATTCCACCTCCGGGTCGAGAAGTCAAGGTTAGGGAACTTAATCCGAATTCCCTTTGAGGCTTGTGAGAATGACAAGGGTGGAAGAGCTGGGGATAAAAAGTTGAAAGGTGTCAAGACCTTACGTGCAGGCAAGAATCAAAGTGAATTCCACGTGTTTGGTAATACTTTTACCTTTTTAAATTCGTGTTCAGAATTCCTAATCCTAATAGGGTGAGATGGTGCCGATTCGTGGAAGGGGCCCGACGAGAAAAAAATTGTCACCAGGATTTCTTTCGCTTTCTTAGTTGTTGGAAAAACCTGCGAAAGACCCCAAGCGCGGTTTTATGTGTGCCATTTCTTTAACTGAGAATTGAGATGCAATTAAGTATAAGTACAGAGATACAGAGTCCGCCAAAAAAAATGTATACACACTTCAGGAAAAGAAAAACTTGTATAAATATTTTAATACCAAATTTATTCAGACATCATGAGATTAACACAAGTTACCTTTGGCCTCTACAATTACAAGAGGTGCCCAAAGTGGTGACCATTAGCTTCCAGACATTTATTAGTACGGCGAACTGCCGCTTGGGCAACCTTGACCAACTACACTGGCGGCCCTTAGAGAAGAAATTGAAAATGCATGTGCAGCAATCCCACTGGACACTTTGGCCAAGGTATATTCTATCTACCTTGATCCTTCCCCCTCCTCCCCTTCCCCCACCTAAGGGTTCCTCTAAGCTCTCCCTTTTCGCTCTCACTGTTCTCGGTCTGCTTGAAGCGCTTCATAATCAGATGAGATGAAATAAATTCAATTATTCAGTTGTCAAACTCGGGATGGGGGGAGGGGAGGGGGGAGGGGAGGGGAGGGGAGGGGGGGAAAGGACGGATTCCTGGAGTTCACTGCGACATCATCATAGGGAAACTGAAGATTGGAGACTCCTTGGTGATCGTGAACCGATAAATTCGACTTAGCAGGTCAAGGGGGAGACGAGGTCGTGAAAAGGGGGAAATAAGGTAGTGAAAAAGGGGAGACGAGGTCGTGAAATTTTCACAAGTGAGACCTCCCAGAAATAAGCCATGATTGACGGGAGGCGACTTTCGTCTAGGATTTTTGTCTGTTCTGGTGTTATCGTCCATCGAATCTGCTCGTCCTCGGAGAGAGGGTTTATTCAAGCTGTTAAATTGATGGGTTTTTTGACATCTGCTTATCTTGTCTGTCGCAGACTATAAGTAGCCTAGCATCGGGAGAGATCACCATTTTCTCATCTGATTTGCAAGGTGTAAGATAGAGTCGTTGTGCGTTCGTCTTCTGTTCTCGGCGACGCACACCACCTTCGGAATGAAGCTCGTGAGTTTTTCTTCTATTCCTTTTTTTGGGTTATTCTGGTGCTGCTCGAGGAATGTCTCGTGTGATCGGGATAAGGGACAGTAATAATATGATTACATTTTGATGGCAGCAAGCAGCGGATTTCAGGGGTCTACGGGTTGGATGATGAAAAACGGAATTCGCTTCGTAAACGAGCGAAAATTGTCCACACTTTTCGGGAAGGCCTTCTACCCATTCTGCTACAAATTAAAATCTTTCTTCTAAGAATCGTGTATTTTCGTGTCACCAGACGTCAGGCAAGAAATTTGAATGAAATGAAATTTGTATTTAAAAAAATTCCAGGACTGTCTTTATGAGAGATTCTTAGTGCTAGCGAAGCAACTAACTCGTGGTTCTCGCTTCGGGCAATCTGCCGAGTAATCAAATAATCCACGATCACGATCCACTCGTTTAAGTCTTCATGATTCATTTCTTGCACATCCGTGAGTCTTCAACGATGTCGGTCCCCCACAGGCGTTGGGACTGCTGGGACTGGCCTGCCTTGCGTTCATGGCCGAGGAGGCAGCAGCGGTGGCCCTGGGTCTCCTCGAGGACGAACACCTCCACTCCGCCGATGCCGATTTTCCGTTCCATCCGCTCTTTGGGTAAGCGGTCGTTTTAATTGAAGCCTCTGGTTTTATTGATCTGATGGGTAGTAGCGTTGAGTTCTCAAAGGATCGAATAATCGATATGACCGTGATGAAGTCCCGATGGAGAGATCTAGGTTCCCCGTGCCAATACTTGTGGGGTCTTAGAAGAAGTTGAATCCTCGTATCCCTTAGCATGAGTTTGACGGTATCAGATGGCTTGAATAAGAGAAACCACAGAAATGTCAATAACCTTCATTTACTTTTATTATTCACTTTCCTTTTTAACGTAGCGTTTACACGAGGAACAAATTTTAATTTGGCCTTACTTTACGATAACTCTGTGAGGAAATTAAGAATTAAATGAATGTACCGCTTTCTCAAAACAACAGCCAGGCTGGCTCTTCTTGGTGAAGGGCCCTTTAGTTTGAACGATTTATTACATCGTCAAAAAAAATACAGACTTAAGCTCTTCCTTTTCCATTTCGATGTCTTGGCGCTTGAACAACAAAAAAAATATATTGATTTTTTTTTTGCTATACAGACAGAAGCACGGAATCCAGCATAGCGACCAGCCCCCGTCAGTATGGAGCATTAAACTGGGGCTGAGCAGCTGCCTTTTCTTCTTCCTTCCCTCGCCTGTCACGCACTCGCATTCCCATTACTTGAGGGCGTTCAATAAGCAGATAAATGTGAATTTCTTCGTGAGTGACTGCCGAAGACGTTTTGGTCCCGAATAAACGTACGAGAGCTTTTATTGCATCTCTGCATTCGAATCGTTTTCCATGGAAGGCCAACCTGTTGCTTTCGCGGGATCACGTAATCGCTATTCCTGTGAATAACATCCACAAGAAAACATCTGGCAAAATGAGCTTCCTTGTTGCAGATTTTCGATCATGGCAGCAATCCTTAGAAAAGAGAGGGAAACCGATCCTCTTAGTGCCTCTCTCAGATGCTGTTTTATCTTACGACTTTGGTACTGAAAGACAAAAGAAATATCTCATTACTTGGTCTTTCTCCCCCCATCCCCCCCTCTTCTCTGTCATCCCTCACCCCTTTTCCTCCTCCCTTTTTCTCCCCTCCTACTTTTTTTTTTTTACCACACTGCAGCTTTCATTGTTTTATTGTTTTCCTCCCCCTTTCATTACCAGCAGTATAATTATTTTAAGATCTAACCTTGGATGAGGTAGGCGAGCGTTGAAGAGTCGAAGGTTACGAATGTTCGCAGCAAAAACATTGTGTCCTTTACTATCATCTGCTTTTTCGAAGTGGAAGTAGTAGTTCTTAATTTTAGCGGCAGATGACACTTCAAGCGTGCAGGGAAGTAATGCTCGGCTTGAAGAAATCGAGTCAGTCCGCTCGATTGCGGCTCAAGTAATTTACATTAGCCCCATAAGCATGAGAGGAACGGAAGTTGCTAACCTCGAGGAGGCCAAAACGGTCGCCGTTTTCCGTTGCAACAGAGTTGGGGCGAGTGCAGTGGACCCTCGCCACATTGCCACTTGGTAGAGTGCCACCTTCGTTCTTGGCCAACTTCTTCCTATGGACAAATCTTATTGTAAATTATTTAAGTGAACGTGGTTAAATCGATATTGCGCCAAAATCAATTATGACCAGCAATGGCATTTTATTGAGGGAAAGTCGTAAAATCGCTTCTACAGTATTAGTAGGTTTGTCGTGGCAGAGGATGGGGGAAAGTCCTTGCACTTCAGTTGGAAACAAGAGATTGCCATCCGGCCCATCTGTAGGGGTGGAAGTAGGGGGGGCGGGGGCGGAGCGGGGAGAGAGGGTGTGGAGGTGTCAGATAACAAGTTAGCACAAACTGGTTGGTGGGAAGGAAGGGGGGCGGGGGGGGGGGGGAGAGGAGGCGAGATAATTTCTGAGGCATGTCACAGGATTTTCCCAAGAAAATGATTTTCTTAAGGATGTCTACGATGTCTTGGATCCCTGATGCCCTGCAGAGGAAATGCGACCACTTTCAACACCCTTTGATACCCTTTTCACGCGCTGCCCCAAAAATCATGATGATTCGATCCCCAAGCACTAGTCGAACAGGTTCCCCCACCTATGGCATTTAGTTGCCGGTTCGCAACCCCTGGGTTGGTAAGCCCTACACCAGGGCTATATTTACAAAATCTTGCACTGTGCATAGTTTCTGAAAGGATATTCAGAATTTCAGCTAAATTTATTTTGCCGACAGTCAAGCGGAGGAAAAACCCGAACGACGTGGTTGCATCTAGACACAGTCTCCTATCCGTTTTCAACTTCCGAATTATTTTGAACAATTGTAGATGTCTTTGCTTTGGCAGAACCAGTTCGGATGAAACTTTGAACCTCGCATTGATATACACGGGGTAAAACCGCCCAAGTTCGGACAGTCTAACGATTATTGTTAATATGCATTCCTGAGATCGACATCTGAGAGTTCCTAACCCAAGATGACCATATTACTAAGCGAAAGACTTGCGGTGGTCACGATCGCACGAATTCGAAATATCGGGGTGAAGTGAATGTCATGTCGCGGGCGGGAGAAATGCAAGAAAAATGTACGGAGACGACCTTACTTGAGAAAAGCTTCCCTCGCGGTATTTTAAATTCTGTGATCAATCCCTATTCCGCGGTAAACTAAGGAACGTAGAGCACTGCTACGAGGGAATACGCACATAATACATACCCACATAATGGGAATTATTGGAAGTTATAAGGCTACGTTGGTCATTATCACCCTTATACCTACTCATATTGGGCTGTTGGACGCAAAAAATTATCTGGGTTTTACCATTAAGACGAGCGAATTACAATCTTATCCCGGCTTAACTGTCCGAACATTGATGGTTTTACCCTATATTCGAAGCAAAATTGGTTGAAGGTTCCTTCAACCAATTTTCATTGCACTTGCATGACAGGAGTCCTCTCAGAATCAAAATGATTCCAAGATTCGAAACAAAATGTCATTTTATGGAGTTAACTTCGTTCCTATCGCAGCATGAATGAGATGCAAAAAAAAAAAGCTTTGAAAAAGCACGTGTTCCACACCATGACAATTCAGAATCACACAGCTTCCTTGTTTCTTTACTTCCCCGGAATATGTATCTGGTTGGTATAGCCTTGGAAAGGCACTCGATCATGATAACCTCCGTGCAAAAACGAATGTCACATACGGGGCCGTGCAGGTCTCTATTTAATCGTGGTCTTCTGAAAAATGTTATTAAATAAAATTAATTATCAGCAAAACAGTTTAGGATAAGCACAGCCCCACATGATTGAAAGGTATACGTCCATGGGAGAATTTGCAGCTTCGTTTATGCATATTGAGCTGTTATTGAAAAAATTTCGAAATCGAAGAGTTTGAACACAGTGCAGAATGAACAGCTATGCATTCTCCATTGTCATTTCTGTGCGTCATTTGTGTCATTTCTGGGTGTTGACACCTGCCTGTCTCCGATACACACATGTATACGATGAATTCGCCCCGCGTACTCGCCTCACCCGGGGCAAGAAGTGGAGGGAGGGGGTGGGGGGTGGGGGGTGGTGAAGCGCATGGCTCGGGGGCAGGCGTGGGCGGAACCGGTAGGAACGATGCATATCTTTCCATTTGGACTTATTTTAACGTTTTGCTGGTTTGGGGGTGTGTCTTTACGCGGATGATATATAAATGCCCTGAAATGCGTGCCTGTTATTCTGCCATCAACCTCTGCCCCTGTTCAAGACAGCCTTGCTGGACTCGTCTTCTGTGCTTTCAACTTCCCACGACCCTTCAAAATGAAAATTGTGAGTACCTCATTTCTCTTTTTTTTAAATTATTTCTTGAGGGTTACATATTAATTTCACGTTTTGATCTGGGCTTGTTTCTCACTAACTCTTAATGAGGGGATTGACTACTTCACGCATGGGTTATCTAATGACTGTACTGCGCGATATATGTGGAATGTCACTCATGAATATCGATTCCTTCGGCTCGTTGCGTTGAACGCCTACCAAGTAGGTTCTTACAGAGAACGTCCTTTCCCTTGTCACGTAAGGATTAACATTAGTGAAAGGCGAAGACTAGAGCTTCGCTTGCAACTCACTACTTGCTGTCGCACCACTTTGGACATAGTACTTCATTTTCTATCGATGCATCATCCATTCGCGATCCTCAATGACTCTTACAGGTATGGGTATTGTTTGGGCTGTTGCACCTGGTGGCCTTCTCGAAGACGGGAGCTTCACCTATTGGGCCAGTTCGAGTTGTTGTGGGAAAAGGCCCCGTCCCGATTGCACCCCCGTTCCGTCCGTTTCATTCGTTCCGATTGTTTTCTCCGTACCGTAACACGTTTTCTCCGATTTTTCCGTTCTTGAGTAAAGGTAAGTTCAACTATAGGTGTGCTGCTGGTGTTTCTATGCATTCTACGGAATTCTAAGGAATTCTACTCGTGCATTCCTAGGTATCACTGTCCAAGCCAACGTCCCGGAATATAGCAACCCCGAGTCCTTTGGGGTATCCAGTCCTCGACAGTACGGAGCGCTGAACTGGGGTTGATTTCAACAGCCACGCCAAACTCAAGCCATGACTTCCATAAAACTGTTATCTGATTTTTACTGACAAGATCGGTCCAAGACGACGTTTTGATTTGGAATAAACGTGATATACATTTGTTACTTCTGCGCATGGATTTTCAGACCTTTTGCGAGACTCCTAGGAACCTTACTTTTGTCATCTCGGATCGTATTTAGCGTCGAAAATTTTTCAATCGATCTAATTGACTCAATTTTCGTACGTCTCTAGTACGAGGGGGTATCGAAAAGTAAGTTTCCCATTATCTGTAGAACACTTGGCATGAGTATGTGTATACTGTTACCTTCCATCCATACGCTGGCGACAGGGAGTATACGCTGTGACGGTGACAAAAAATGGGCGCACTTGGAAGCGTACACAAACTGAAATGCATTTCAGTCAGCAGTGCGATACGGTATTTGTGTTAAACATGCACCTGTTGACATCCACCGTCAGGTCGTTGCCTTGTATAGATAAATGAGGAGGTGGTGCCGTGTATTATCTGAGGTCTCGACATGAAGGATTCTTGGCGTTCCAACTTTCTTCACGAGGGTTTGGAGAAACTCTTACCGATGGGACAAATACATAACTTCCGGTGATTGTGGAATGGGGAAAAGGGTTTAATATTACCACTGCGTGTACGAATGTTGGATATATTTGGAAATAGAGACATGGGAACTTATTTTTCAATATCCTCTCGTACTAAAGATACAAACCTGAACTTCCCTGTATTCTGTACGTGCCAACGTCAAGTCTGTCAAGAACTCGCAAGTCGGGAGAACCTTTTTGACGTGACGATGCAATATAATTCTTTATATCTACAGGGAGATAATGCTGGTTTTACTTGGCGATCGTTGATACGTCAGAAGTGCGTCACATCGTGTAAGATACCTATCATGTTATATACCGCGAAACAGTCGTGAGCAGCCTTTTTGACTTTTCGACTTTGAGCCTGTGATTCACTAAGAATGACCTATTCTCGCAATAGGTCATTATTAAAATAAATAATTAATAATAAAACAATCATTCTGTTGTGCTTGCGATGTTTTGGTCCGAAGTGAAAAATGTGCGCGAAGTTATTCGAATCTAAATTGATCTACGTTCGTAGATGCAACATGCAAAATAGTGGAACCTATTACAGCGACGGCGGCTATTAGCATGTCTGTTGGAACATGTAATTTTTCGTTCCATGAAGTTCGAATTTTCATTGATATAACTCACAGAATAAATAAAATTCTGATTTTTGTGATTGTTGCCTTAATTTTGTTCACCAGTGCATATTTCATGCATGGGCGTCGTTAGATTGAAAAGTCCAATGCATCGGTGCTGCAGAAAGCGGGTTTTCTCCAGCCTGTAATGTTCCTGTAATGTCATAGGGATACCTTTAACATAGTCTGTGCCCTTTTAACTTTATACAGTACTAGACACCAGCTCCACGGTTTGGGCTCGAAACATTTAAGATGGAAGTTATGTAGTAAGAACTCCATTTTGGGACTCGTTCCCCTTTCAATTAAATCAACGTAAGAGAATTTTAGGATGCCTGTCTCATTAAATGGTTTTCTTGAAGGTGCGTGCCAGGTCTACCACCAGTTTGTGCGAGTCTAGTCCTCGTCAAGCAAAGCTGGATACACAAAGACCAGTTGAGGTCGGCCTACGATTAAAGGAAAGGAAGAAGGGGAGGGGAAATAGTGACTTGGCATTGGTCTAAGGTTGACATAAGACCTTAGGATAAACCTGCACTCAAAATTAGGTTGTGCCAACTATGATAATGGTTAGGTTCGGCGTACACCGTTTTCGGATTGAATTCGTACCTTCCCCTGTATCGGAGAATGTAAAAAACAAAATTTCCAAAAAGTTCTGCTACATCAGATGATAGTAGTGGCCACCTAAGATCTCTCTCATCCATTTCTCAAATCTCTCGCATCCAAAGCTTTCGATTATACTTCTTCCTGCAGTGGGCAATTGTAGAGGAGCAGGAATAAGAGCTCATTCCAACATCGAACTGAGATTGGTGCAATTTCATTGTCTGCTCACGTTTACGATTGGTTCTCCGTAAGTGAACGCCGGATANTCCCAAAAAAAAGTGGACCACCATGAAAAACCTCACGTCCTTCCGTGAAAAATCAACCGTTCATTCTTCTATTTGATTAATAGCGATCTAAAAATTATTTGTCCAGACATCTCCGTATCGATTAATCAGCGTATTCTAACTAAAATATATTCATAATCGATTATCTATTAAATACAATTCATAAGAATCTCGCTTGCCTTTCTTGAGGATTCCTAAATGGGCAGATCCAAGAGGGACGAACTTTTTTACCTTTACCCGAATTCCGTTTTGATTTTCCATCTGCCAGAGCCACCAGGAACAACAGCCCCAGGAATACCCAAACCTGTGCAGGGCACAGCAAAAAAATCACACTGAATCGTCGCATTTCCCTATTCATGAAATCCCAACCTTCAGCCATCTCAATGCTGAAAAGAACATTTACAAGATTTTTGTCAAGTATATGCATGACAATAAACCACTGGCCATGTCTACCCTTAGTTATTCGAAAGAAATAAACAGGAATAATATATACAAGTACATAGAAATAGAACAATTGCAAAAATGTCAACTTTTGCTATTGTTGTTTGCTATTGTTATACACCGACTTTTAGATCGCCCTGTATAATGTGGGCGGGCGGCACAATGACGCGCCGAAACGATCCTCGCCTCCTGGGCTTTATATCAGTCCCGCCATCCGATATTACGGATGTGGTGCCAGGTCTAACATTTGGTCACGTAGTTCAATGTACACCCAGTAGATGTCACTTGCTCTACTTTTAAGTGGTAGAAAACAATCCCGCCAACTTGTAAAAAAAATATCACTGGAATATCGATATTTTAAAGATTCTAAGCGCTGTTTATAATTGAATTTTTTTCAGATAAAACCAAGATGGCAGCACGCAGGAGACATGTGCGTACCTCGTGTGATGAGGAAAAAATTAGTGAAATTCTTGCCGACAGTGATTCCGATTATGATATTGGCGATGAATTCAGTGATAGTGACGTTTGTGATAATAGTGGGGGCGATGGTAAGCCTGAACCCACAGCAAAAAGACGCAAAACTACTGCCACAACTCAGCTTTCTGCTAGCACATCACAACAGAGTGACAGGGCAAGTGACTGTGATGGTGTAAATATTCCTGTGCAGCCATTTGTGAAACCTTTGATGTGGCTTCTCAAATTGAGACATTCACCCTCTAAGTGTCAGAAGTACTCATCCAGGTACTGCATGGTGTGTCTGAGACAACAAAAAAGAAGATACGTCTGCTCGTCCTGCAAGATCCCCTTACATATGGGAGATTATCTCACCAGGTACCACACACTGCAGGAATACTAGAGGTATGAACTACACCCTGTGAAAATTTAAGCATGATTACTCATATAGTTTCTGAAATATAAATTGTTAAAGATCAGAGCGCAAAATTGCAATACTTGGGGGAAAATGGCCGGACTGCAGGGGCAGTCTGGTGAATTTCCATCCGGTCGGGATGCTGCTGAAGAACTGCAAGTTCATACAGAGTTCTCCCACCCATGATGGCAGACGATGCATCCTGAGAAAGGAGATTCCCACAACAGATGCGAGATGCCTAAATAGCTGATATTTCAGAGGTATCTGGGAGCGACTCGTAAAAAGTGCAGAATTACATTTTTCATGCGGTATCTGATATTTTTAACGCTAACGATGAAAGGGAAGAAACTTGAATTAATTTGTCACTACATTCGTCTAAACACGTAAATCATCCCAGGAAGACTTCTGAAGGAATTCTAGAGGAAGGATGGCTCTTCCATGAAGTACAAATGGGGACAATGGAAACTCCTTCAGGATCTTCATAGCAAGTGTCTGAAGCGACCACCTCGTTCCTGCAAGCACATTACAACACGCTTTCGCATGTTCGCAGAAGCATGGTGTAAGGTCGCACGAGAAATGCCGGCAATGGCCTGCGCGATGTTTTGCTTCAACGTTTCCAAGTCTCTGGGATTATTAGCATATACTTTTTCCTTAAGGTTTCCCTACAGGAAATAGCCAGGTCTGGAGATCACGGCGGCCAAAGATTCTTGCTCATGAGCGGTTGCTCTGTTTTGTTGAAACCACGAGTCACGTTCGTCAATTTCTAACAACGATAAATTACTGAAAACGTTCAGCATTTACAGTTTGTGAAAAACAAGAGACCAATAATACAATTGCTGATGTGTATATATTCCAGTTTAATATATATAGGGTTGCGCGTCTTTTGAAAGGCCCTGCAGTACATCCGGTTACTGATGGAGTCCCGGAGGAGAAGTAGATCCGGGAGTGATGAAAGAGATCACCTAAGGCATCTTATCTGGCACATACTTCCAGAGGCGGGGAAAGAACGAGAGCAAAAAGACGAAGTTACTGAGAATTCCAATCCCATTTTGCGAGTGAAAGCCTCACAAGGAGACTCGATCAGTGCTTCAAACCAGACAGAGGCAGATCCGGCGGCATGAAAGTCCACAGTAGTGGACAGCAAAATGAAGAGTCATATCACACGCAAGTACTTGATGTTGCCCCCAAACAAGGTCTAGGGACATGCCTACGAGGGCCGCAAGTTGGGAAACATGATGGGAAACAGGATGTCATGTGGCCTTTCTGCATCGTCTCAACGCGAATGCGCTGCTTGGGTGGTGATGAAACATCCTATACTTAACCCTTATCCGGGCAAAGGGGGTCCATATATTTCATTATAAATCTCTCTGCAATTTCTTTTTTTCCAAATTAGTCTTCAAATTTGATATGGGTTTCACAGTCAAAAATTCGAAAATTCGTTTCAAAAACGAATTTTCGAAAAACGAAGTTAGAAATTTTAAATTCTAAAAATGGTTGGCCTTGTCAGTTTGTGGCACAAAAATACCTTGCCCGGATTAGGGTCAATATATCCACGTTTGGTGACACTGAAACCGCTCCTATGATCCAAGCGCACAATGGATACAAACCCAAAGACGATACTCACCAGTTTCATCTCGAAGGCATACCCTCGGTGGCTGCGTGTAATCCGTGGCGATCGACTTGCAGACGACTGGAGATCTGGTCCG